AAAGCATCATTCACATAACTTCTTAATAATCTTTTTTTGTCACGACCCAAACCCACCCCTATAGGTTTAGCGTCGTAAATTCTTAGATTACCAAAGGCCTCTAAACAGAATAATATATAATTAGGAGCTACGGAAGCAAATATATAAAATATACGTAATCCATTGAGCTGTGTTGACATACATGGAATAGAAATTTAAAAATTAAATATATTTACATATATATAGAAGTTTTACGTCACATTCATTACAGATTTATCCAAAAGGGGACTTAGCCCATCATAGAGATAGACAAAACAAAACAAAAACATCTTTCACATGGGTCACAAAACTTGACTTCTACCAATGGAACCTCTCCAGGAGGCACAACAAAAGTAACCTATGGTGACAAAAAGTAGTGAAGAAAATAAATTTCGTCACTAAATAAGAATAATCCGTGACGAATTACAAAATTTTGTTACATATAATAAAAAAATAAAAATAATAGGTGACAAAATTTATTTTCTTCAACAAATACTTCTTTTTAGGTGAGGAAAAATTAAGTTTCATCACCGAAGGTTTTTCCGTTAATTTTTTTTTGGTGGCGCCAAAATTTTGCGACTTTTGGTGAGAAAAAAATTTGTCACCAATTATAAAATTATTAGTGAGGAATATATTTTCGTCACCAATAATTATATATATATATATATATATATTTTTTGAGAAACTTGATTTTTAATATTTTAAGACCATTTGGTGAGAAATATAATTTTATCACTAATAATTTTTAATATTTTGAAGCTTTTTAGTGAGGAAATTATTTTGTCACTATTTGGAAGGGCAAGTTTTGACATATTGGGCGGTAATGAAAAAAATAGACTACTAACTTTTTCTCTCTCCTCCCCCCCTCTCTTTATTGTTTATCAATTTTCCTTTCCCCTCTATTTGGTACAACTTTTCATAAGCTAAATGCTAATAATTAGAAAGTGAACCTAAAAGCATCATTCACATAACTTCTTAATAATCTTTTTTGTCACGACCCAAACCCGCCCCTATAGGTTTAACGTCGTAAATTCTTGGATTACCAAAGGCCTCTAAACAGAATAATATATAATTAGGAGCTACGGAAGCAAATATATAAAATATACGTAGTCCATTGAGCTGTGTTAACATACATGGAATAGAAATTTAAAAATTAAATATATTTACATATATACAGAAGTTTTACGTCACATTCATTACAGATTTATCCAAAAGGGGGACTTAGCCCATTATACAGATAGACAAAACAAAACAAAAACATCTTTCATATGGGTCACAAAACTTGACTTCTACCAACGGGAACCTCTCCAGGAGGCACAAAGGCTAGCTAACAAAACACATGCTCTAGGTCATCAACTTTGAGTCTGGTCAAGCGCTTGATCACCTACATACATAACATAAATACTGAGAGTCCAGTGAATAATAACAGGGTAAAGGGTTAAATAAATGATGCCCTATAACAAATTTAGAAAACATAAACAGGTTCATGTTCATATCCTTGTTCGAACCATATACAGAAATCAGAGTTCATGCTTCATCATATGTGGTATATCCAATAACACTAACAGATCAAATACAGAGCATTAGGGGTCATACTTGTCAGTTCCATAAACGAACCTCCGGTACTGGGAATACATAACATACGTAAGCCACAGTATTGTTACCCCCGGGCAAGGGCCATGAGACCACGATCTTATTACCCCTGAGCAAGGGCCTTGTGTTAAGGATGCCACGAATATATTTCAGAAACTTGGATAATCATTCATTGTACAAAATATAACATTTCATAAAACGGATCTTAATTCATCTTACAGAAAATAAATTAAGTTGAACATAACTTTACAAAGTTATTACTCACAGTTGGCTCCAAAAGCAGACAGACAGAATAAACTAATCAACTAGCATACGGCGCATGACCTACACAACACAACATAACAGATACATATAATGAAATACATGCTCGGATAGTATTTCACTTATTTCATCTTGTTCTTAGTGTGTTTCTACATCTTATCCTCATTGTTATGTCTTAACAATGGCCTAGAAATGCCTAAGATGAAATGAGGATGCTAAAATATACTTGAAAACACTTAATCAAATATGCTAAAAATAGGGGCCTCGCTCGAGCACCAATTCCTTCGCTCGAGTGGAGGGCCAAAAATGTGAGTGGCTGCTCGAGTGCAACTTTGGTCGCTCGAGCAGTCTGTAAACTCTACAAAAGTACTAGTTGCATGAATTTTTCGCTCGACGGTCGCTTGAGCATAAGACTGAGGTATCCGCTCGAGCATAACCCTGGTCGCTCGAGTAGTCTGCAAAACTTGTAAACTTCTGGGAGCATGACTTTTACGCTCGAGCCAACTTTAGGTCGCTCAAGCATGAATGCAAAATATAGAGTGCCGCTCCAGTGCAAGGTCTACCGCTCGAGCTGAGAGGCCAAATTCTGGAATTTCTAGATTGCACTCCCAAGCTCAAAACTCAAATTCAGTGTTGCAAATCAAGCTCTCTTGGGCCAAAAACTCAAGGAAACTTGTGTAAGCTTCGAAAACATCATGAATTCAAAACCATTTCGCAAAATCAAGGCCCAAGAGTAAGTCAATTGATCAAGAACAAACTCAAATCTTTGAAAACATAACATGCATGGGATGGTTTGGCTTCAAGGCTTCCAAGACATGATCAATTGGTATAAAATGATACAACACAAGATGAATTCTCAAAACAAAGGTAGGAGAAGCACACGCATGGAAGAATTACTTGGAATCAACTACAAATTCATGAGAATTACGCATGCATAAAATGTATGAGTCAAATTCCTTCATTCCTAGCTCAATTCTCAAGTTAAACACTTTAATCTCTTGAATTCATGCAATACACTCTAATTCCTTTTTGATTTCACATATAAATGAACTTGAGGTTACAAAATGTGAGTTGAATCCTTACCTAAGGTTGATGTTAAGTGTAATACTAGCTCAAAGTTTCAAATTGTCTTCAAATCTCACCAATTCCTTCTCACCTCCTCTTTGATCTCAATTCCTCCTTCTCTCCCTCTCTCTCTCACGTGTAAGAACTCAAAATTGTGTAGAAAAGATGAGTCTAGGTGGTGTAGAGGCCATATATAGGCTCAACTAATGAAACTTAATGAACTTGAGTTATAGATAACTAAGTGGGATCATTTTATTCTAATTTATTTGTTCTGAATCGAATTTTAATTAAACCCACCATAAAATTCTAAAAATTCTAACTAACAAAACATCAAGTCAATTTCATGATCGGATTCCGATAAGGCCTTCAATTCGCAGAACCGAGCAAAACACAAACAGCTATTCCTACGCAAAACAGATAGAACCCCAAATAGTATATAACACATGCAATTAATGCAAAATTCCACCTTAATTACTTATTAGGCATTCTTAATCATGGTTTATCAGTTAATCATGGATCGGGGTTGTTACATTTTTCATATTTAAGTTATTTTTACCATATAAATAAAAATTGTATCAAACTTAGCCTAAATTTACTTTAAGGATGTGAAAGGATGTAACAAAAACCCCATCTAATCCCTCAATCCCAAGAGCCTACATTACTAGATTATTGCATTATGTTTTGAGATATTCTTGTAGTTTGAAATTTTTACATAAATTAATAGTTAAGTATTGTGATATATGGAGATGGAGATTCTTATATAATTTACTAATTGTAAGTATTCTGAAATAAAGAGACAGATAACTATTATAGTGAAAAATGTGTAAACTCTCTATTTGTAATATTACATATACAATCTACTACCATTTTGCAGGAGAAAAATAGAACTTGAGAAAACAAAAAATAAACAATCATGAAAGCAATCCAATATGCCTCCTCCTTCCATGAAACAATCCTAAAATCTTAGACCTGATTCTAATAAAGCTCTCCACTATCAAATCTAGAAATAATCTATAGAAATAGTAATATGCAGATCTTAATAAATCCCATAAGGAGGATGAACAACTTCAATGATATGCTAAGTTCAACCTTTTCATCTACTGAACCCTTAATAGTATTGCTGATCTTCTGTTCATTCTTCACAATTTCACCGTTGTCATGCCATGGATAATGAAAGATCTGCAATGATAGATTGAGAGAGAAGAAAGTGTTTTCGATAGGGAAAAATATGGTGAGGGTGTTGTTGTTGTTGTTGTTGATTAGTTCAGAAGGTGTAAAGGTTTGGAGAGTTTGCTCTATTATCATTGACATTGCTATGTAACCCTTGTTGGAGAGAGCACTTGAGATCTTGGAAACTTCTAAGCCATGAAGGCCTTTTTCTTTCGTTGTGCTTGTAATTGGAAAGCTTGAGAGAATTGAGTGAAAAAGAAGAACAACAAGAATAACAAAGGAGATTGTGAGCTTGGAAGCCATGATAGGAATGAGAGAATACTAGATAGCAAGCTAAATACCACTGTTTCTACAAAGTTATAACTTGGCTAAACCTATGTAGTTTTCTATGTATACACACACACTTACATAGATCTCTAATGCTATTTGGATTGGGTTTTGCTAAAGAGTACACCCTTATGGATTTAAAATGGATTGTTGTAGTGCAAACTTATGCCACAAGGGACCTAAAAATTGAGCTAATTTTGGGTTATTTTAAAAATCAAGAAATAAAATAAAAGAATGTTTTTATGATACATAACGATAGTAAGTTCAAATTAATTAAAACCCTTCCATTTATTAAAGTTTTCCTCTTTTTTTTTTTCTTTTTTTTTTTTATCTATTGGACGGTGGTTGGTAGGTTTCTAAACGTGTGATTGTTTTTTGAAAACTCTAATCAACTAGGTTTTCTAATTCCAATGGGACAAGGTTTCAATATACTTATATATATAAGTCCCAGTTAGGGTTCTCAATCTATAAAATTACATTCTACAATACAAACATCGCTCTTAGTGGCTTTACACCTTTCTCTATTCTTCTTCAACTTCTCCTCGTCAATATGCTATTTTTCCTTCATGGCCTCCAAGCTTTCACTTGCCTTTCTTCTTCTTGTGTTTCTGTCAATCCTTTCACAACCTACTATTTCAATAGCTGTGCAAACAAACCATCATGATCATGGGTTGAATGTTGGGATGATCTCAAGTCCCCTATCCAACAAGGGTTTACACAGCCATGTCCTTAATTCTCAAACAAACCCTCTCACTTTGATACTTTCTAAAGTTACCCACAATACCACAATCACTATATTTTGCCCTCTTGATAAGGATTTCTTGTCTTCCAATTACCTGCAGCCACCATTCACTCTCCTTCAGTACCACGTTGCATCGCTAAAGCTTGATAGGGAGGCTCGTCAGTCGACTGTTCCATACGAATCCAAGTTTGATAATCTCCTTCCCCAACGCCCATTTGTAGTTACTACAACACGCCATCATAGCGATCGCACTTCCATTAATGGAGTCAAGGTCACATATTGGGATATCTATAACGATGGACATGTGATCGTTCATAGGGTGGAGGACTTCTTTGATCTTGCAATCCAGACCCTTCTATATCCTTGGTACAACGGTAGGCTCACAAAGAATGAGAATGAGAACAGAACTGGAAAGGATTCAAATATAGAGTTGGGCAGGCTTTCTTCGATGAAAGAGATGATGATGATGGAGTAGATGGTGGATATGCTTACAGTAAGCCAGACAATGGTATTTTGGTTTGAGGAAAAGAATTTCCATATCTGAGAGCTTCATAGAATTGTAGTCTAATGTAGTTTTTCCAAATTTTTATGAATGTTTTTTACTTGTTAGACTCTAGTTGCCCTCAGAGCCAAAACCTGAAAAGAATAAAAATATTGTAATACAGATTATTACTAGGGTTTCACAAATCATAATGTTTCTTAAGACAATTCCAATTCAGTAATTAAGAAAAATCTTTGTCTTGATTGATCCAGAATGAATTACACTTTGATTAGACAAACCAAAGACCCCAGAAATTTATTTGTTTTCTGTTTATTTTTTCATATATATATATATATATATAGACTAGCAATTTGCTCATGGGTTACATGTATGGAACATTATACAAATACAACATGAATTTTATTGATTATGGCTTGTTGGAAAATTTTATTTTATTTTTTGATGGTTTGTTGATGAGCCTTTTAATTTACTGGGATTGGGAATTTCATGAGCACTCATTTCTTTTAAAAGTGAAGGGTTGAGATTCAAAATAGTATATCATGACACTCATGTATAGATTAAAACTGGACCATGCATTGATATTTTTGAATAAAATTTTAAATGTGTGATATTAGCGATCATCCACTATTTGTTTTGTGCTTCTAGTTAGCCGTTGAATGACATAGAGTTTGATTTCATAACTTCCTCAAAATAGGAATCAGAATTCCTCATATGATGTTGAGGGGCAATTTGGTATGTTTTCATTCTTCCCTTTTTCATTTTGGGTTTTTAGATTTTCAATTCTGGGGAAAAAAATGATGGAAAGATTAAAAACATTATCGTTTTTCCACAAATCCTTTTTATTTCTATCAATAAATCTCTCCATAATTCTAAGATCAAACATGACATTAGGATAAACCAAAAAAGATTCATGTAGTTTAGGAAAATTAAGTACATCGATAAAAATACTTAAAGATGACAATGAAAACACATTAGATTGAGAATACGCATTCATTACTAGAACATAAAGTTCCTCCCGTCCAAAATGACAAGCACATTAAAGTTCTTCCCATCCAAAACCAGATAGCCGAACTTGATTTCACATTACTTGGAGATAACAGAGCAATCTGTCAAATTCAAGAGAGACATTAAGATCTAACCAAGAGCTAGTCTATCATTTCAGAAGTGCACAATCAATTTCTTGTCTGTGCAAATTTGGGTCTTGAAGCTTTCCTCTCAATCTTCTCTCTCTTTTTTCTCAACTTTTCATCCTCTTCAGGTCCCTGTTGAACATTATTTTGATACTAGTAAGAACAACTTATCACACCACCTCTTACAGATGCTTTGTATTGCTTACAAAGATATAACATATATCTGGTGAAAAGAATACCTCTGAACCAAGTGACATAAATCCTTTCACAAAACCAAGGAGTTTGTATGCTGCAAACACTCGTATCTGGAAAGCAAAAGCAGAAGACAATCTAGTTTAGGTATTCGCTTCAACAATATTTGCTTCTTTCACCAATACAGACCAAAATAATCCTCACTATATAAGCAACAGCCTGATCAATTTATAATGTAAATGTCAAGTCAATGTAAAATCTTGCAAATATATCATGTGCAGACTCCAAAAGAAGATAACTTAAGCATTGTACAGACTTCATTATGCACTTTTATACCTATGACCACCTCAACTGGTAATCGCATGCTCACCAATCTCTTCTTGAGATTGTGACCTTCAAAGAGCTACAGAATAAAATGAATTATTCAAAAAGCTTGGCAGACTTCCAAAATCAAACCTTGTGTGCTAGCCTAAACCTTTTCAAGCCAAATTCTTGAATGAAAGTGAATTTTAACTAAAAAGGTCATGAAACTGCATCATCCACGTTACAATGTCCCAAAAGATTTTCTAGATACAGTTATTCATCACCATCTTGTAGTTAGATGTACTCATTAAAAACGCTCTCAAAATTTCAAGGGCATCAAATAAAAATGATGGAAACACAAGGAGCACGCAAAGCAAGGTCCTCACACAAGCAATGCCATACAATACATAACATTGAATAGTAATAATAAAAACAAAAAACAACAGCACAAATAATAACAAATTCATTTAGGAATAATACTAGGGCTCATGAAAAAAATATCATGAAATGCTTCATGAAGATTTTTCATCCTTTGATTAGTGTGTGGAATTTATTATGTGTAATCTAAGGGTGGAAAAATGTTCATGATCTTCATGATATTTTTTTCATGATCCCTAGCATTACTCTTCATTTAGTGGTAAGATGAGATAGTTCATTAGGGAATCCAAGTCCTTAAGAACCACCATATTAAGTAGATAAAGAACACAGTTTCAATTCAATCCATTCATTTAGTGATTTTTCTTTGAATGAATAAGTAGCAAAAACATATAAGTTGATCCTTATGATAGTTCAGGCATTTCCTTAACATTAACCACTGCATTAGAATCCCAAATCTTAACTTGCATACTTATATATATAAACGCCAAGCAACCACAAGCTGGCCGCTTTTGTTAATCAGTAACTCGAAAGCCTGACAACACTATAAAATAAGTCAGCTAATGCAGGTATCAAACCAATTCAGGAAATGGATCTTACCACTAAATAAATGTACCAAAATTTTTCAGAGATGATAGTCGTGAGTTGCACAAAACCAGTAATGTAGATTACATCATGCAAATATCTGCAATATAAAACCATTGGTTAGTAAAATCTCTTTTTATTACATTTATAAACAAAAAATACATGTTAATTCAATTGTAGCTACAAAACATCTTATAAATATGAAAGACGATATCCATGTACTAGAGAATGATGTATACCTCTCGACAATGTAAACGAATCTCGTAACTCATATCAAATAGGAAACCCTAAAGAAGGGTCATAAAGTACTACAAACTTCACATTTCAAACCAAGAAGTGATATTCTTCGAAACAGTTATGACCACAAAACTAGAAACTATTTATTTTAATGACAAAGATTATCATTTATTATCAATTCACAACTTACAAAACGACTGATTTGCAATAAGAACTCTTTTCTGCACTAGACTTCCAGGTGGAGTAAGATTGAACAAGTAAGATTGAAAAATATCAAGCATTTTCTTTACTTTAAAACTTACTCAAAATGAACAATACCACCAAACCGCAAATATCATCCAAAACTGAAGCGTATGTATGTTACTTCAACAAAACATCAAAGGCAAAAAGCTTCCATAATCCCCAACCTCACCCAACGATTGGTATTCATAAATGTTAATTTTAGGTAAAAGGAACAAGAAGTCTACATATATGCTCTTCAGGAAGCATCGTTAAGGAAGTAAAGACATTATAATTTTTGTTAGTATCAGCAATAGCACCAAGAATAAATGCCTATACTGATTCCAAAAAATACATCTACAATATGAATGAAACTAACATAAAATCTGCTAAAGTCCTCAAGAGTCGAGACATGATATATATTAGTTTTTGAATGGAAGAACACAGGTTCACTCAATACTTTTACAAGGATCTCAATATCAGGATATTAAGAATACATTTGCCAACGTTAGTGACTAACTATCATATGACCAAAAAGTAACACACAAATACTAGCAGACAACCAAAATATACTAATTGTTTCCACAGTGACAAGTCTGGACACAGCTCTCTAATTGGATTCAACACTGACATATCAAGAATTTAGGTATCATTAAATAACTAATGTCAACTCAATCTTTATTGATCAGCAGAGACTAGAAAAGGTAACTACACAAAGGCACTCATACATACAACATACATATACATGTTATAAATTTAAAGTAGTATTATGTTATCTTTTCATAACAAAAAAATAAACTACTGATATATTTGACATAAAATAAATTTATAAAAATATAAATTGTTAACGTGTCCAAGACATACAATGCCTTCCATTTTTTGAAAATCTTCGTTTCAGTGTGTCTATGTCATGTCACATATCCATTTTGTGCTACTTTGCCAATATTTTTCAGAATTTCATAACAATTATACACTACGTATACATATTATTCAACGGAAAAAAATAGCAGTTTTGTCGAGTTTGAGTTAATCAAGCTTTGCAGGTCAACAAAATTGTCATGATCAACCTAATATTGAAGAAAAAAAAAAGTATTACGAGCATTCCCAAGTTTTAAAAAATTCGAAGATCTAGATAAATACTGTAGCGATTCTAGTTTTGCCACTTCGCTGAGTATGTCGAGGATCGAGCTGCCCGGTCAGCTCGCGGGGGTCCAGGGAGTAGCGCCCCTTCGCGGATCCAAGGGCAGCGCCCTAGCGGGGATCGAGCTGCATGGTCAGCTCGTGGGGGTTCAGGGGGCAGCGCCCCTTGGCGGGTCCTAGGGCAGCGCCCTGGCGGGGTTGAGGGGCAACACCTCCAAAGCAAAAATGCAAAATGCATTAGAAGTTGCTTGTCAGTTCGAGCGGCCGTTTATGTACTTGAGCGGAGAATGTTTTGTTCCAGAAGTTTGACCTGCCTGCAAAAGTACTAGGAAAGTGTATTTGACGCTCGAGCGGGACTTTCCACGCTCGAGCAGACCATGTTATATCAATTCGTGAATCTGACATTTCAGATCACTTTGTATATCTCTTTCTCTAAAAACTCTTTCCTCTCCCTTCTCTCTACATTTTCCTACGCCAAATTGGATCAAAACCTTGATTTCTCAAGATTCATTAGAGTTTTGCCATAGGTTTTTCATCAAAGTTGGTTAACTTCTCGAGGGCTTCGTTGTGTGCGGTGAAGATAGAGTTTCGACACCGTTGATTTTGGGGGATTCGTCTCATTTCTTCTTCAAAACTTGAGGTAGGAATTTTCTTAGAGTTATATATATATTTGCAAGATCTAGGCGATTTTTGAAATCATCCTTCGATAGCTTTGAAAATTGATTATTGATTCAAGAAGTTGAGCGTATAGCGACCCCGGTCTTTTCCCATTTGATTTTTGTATCCGGACTT